GCCTTTGCACCATGACCTGAAACTGAGCGGGTGTGTGTTGGTGAAGAGTCACCTGAAGTGCATTCTAGTGAGAACAATGTGTGAAGCCCCTGGGACAAGAAAGGACAAGGCAGCTGTAAGGATTGGCACTGGTACAGCACAGGCAGTGCTGAATAAGAACTGGTGACTATTAACAATAAGTATCACAATAACAATGATAACCACAGACTTCTTTCTAGTAATAGAGAATAGTAGGGCATCAAAATTGTCACTTGTCCCTCACAAAAGTATCCCAAAGGTACAGTGCAGATCTTTATTTTAAATGAGCATATTCTGACTTACATTTTTACTATTTAATGGAAAAGGAGAGAGTTTTAAGTAACATTGTTGATGTGAACAAAGTGTTTACACTGATGACTAAAAACTAAAAGTGGACTTTCAGGAGTCAACCACTAAAACTTCAACACCTTAGATGATGTCTGAATGTCATATTACCAAGAACCACTCTGGATTCTTTCACTAATTAAATGTTTGTTTCTCCTTTGGACCACGGTACTTATTTTACCTTTGCAGTCGGCCTGAAAGGGCATTATACTTAATAAATGTCAGAGCCCAAATCCCACAGATATCAGATCTACATCCTGCACTCTTTTGGAAATGTCATCTTAATTATCACTGCAGCAATCCTGACCCAATTCTTCTTGACAACCACTACATAGGCACAAAAGCTAGTCAGCTGGAAAAACTCAGAACCAAATTTGGAAAAGATTTCCTACCAGAATGTTCTCTCATACTTAGATATGCCAAGGGCTATTTGCCCTTTGTGCAAATAATCCTTCAAATCATCCCTCCCTGCTTTAATGACCTCATTCTCAAGAACTCTCTTAGCTAGAGGGGCAAATATCCATATTCTTCATAAGACGACTAAGAGAAATAAGATGACAATTTAAAATAAACACCTATGTGCTGATAACTCTTAATCCTGGAATGGCAACCCCATCTCTATTCCAAGATACAAACCCACTTGAATCAAACTCACGTACAAACAAAATTCTATGTCCAAGTGTCCAAAACTATAATCACTTATAATCAACCTACCCTCAAAACCTGCTCACCCTCCAGGTTTCCCACTTCAACTGGTGCTACTACCATTCACCCAGGCCAAAATACAGAATTGCTCTTAACTCTTCCTTCTCCCCTACCATACTCCACCACACCTTCCCCAACTCACCCACCCAAATAAGCTTTAGGTGTGGCCACTGCCACTCAGAACCAGCTCTCACCCTCAAGCCCTCTCCAGTCCCACCGAGACTGTCCTAATTCAGGTCTCCCTCATTTTGGAGGTGGATTTCTATTACTGAAATAGTATCCTTACTGGTTTCTATGCTACCAATCTTTGTTTTTTTCAAATGACATTAGATGTTTTAAATACACAGAACATTTAAAAAAAAAATTTAAGGCACATAACCCAACACCCAGATAAACTGTTAAACCTTTGTCAAAGAACAAAATTAATGCATGTATAAATATGGTTAAATAACCCAGCTATTTACCAGAAGAAAACAAAAAGAATAAAAAACTTCTTTCCCAATTCCCTTACCTCTTTCCAGTTTTTGTTTTCAATACAGTTTTTATTTTGAAATAGCACTAAAGAGGAGTATAGGGAGTTGCCATATTCCCCACACCCAGTATCCCTATACTAATATCTTACATTAGTAAGGGACATTTGTTACACTTAATAAATCAGTACTGATACATTAATTTTTACCTAATGTCCTCATCTGCTCCAGGACCCCATTCAGGATACCACATTACAATTAGTCATCCTGTTTCCCTGGGCTCCTCTAGCACACTGACTGCCACACTAGAAAAAAATTTTTTTTCCTTGAGGTCAGGGTGTTTTATTACAAAAATAGAATAAAAACTTCAAAAACAAAATGATCCTTTCTAATTTAATGAAAAATTTGTTATTTTTTATTGTTTTCTGTACGTGAGTTACATGCAACTTGAAGAATGGTTCACGTGGCTCCCAAGGTAAAGAGGCATGAGAGTTACATATACTTCACCAGGCCCTGGGCTCAAAACTAGCATGAGTTAAATACAACTCACATAGGAGTTAATGTGCTACGTTGTGACAGTTTCTCAGACATCCCTTGTTTTAGATGACCTTGACATAGGTAGGTTACAGAATATCTTTCATTTTGGGTTTGACTGAGGTTTCTGCCATGTTTAGACAGAACTTATGGGGCTTTCTGTGGAAGCTCACAAAGGGAAATTCTGTTCTCATCACATCCTATCAAGAATTGCTATCAACAATTGTTGATGCTGACCTTGACACCTGGCTGAGGTGGTGCTTGTCACATTTCTCCACTATGAAGTTAGTCTTTTTCCCTCTTTCCATACCGTAGCCTCTGTAAGAAGTCACTAGGTGCCACTCACTCTTACAGAGTGGAAAGTCATGCTCTCCTCCCTTACTGTGGAACATTTACATAAATGATTTGGAATAATTCCGCATGGGAGATTTGTCTCTTCTCCTCCATTTATATGTTCATTCAATCATTTATTTCTATCAAGATGGACTCATGAATATTTATTTTATACTCTGGGCTATAATCCAATACCACTTTATTTTTGTTGCCTAAAGTATCCTAGCGTTGGGTGTTGGGTGTTGACTCCTGAGTCTCTCAGACATACCCTCATTGTTGTTTTGTTCTGCTTTTTGTTTTGTTTTACAATTACTCCCTTACTTTGTAGCTCTAAAAGATGCACCAGGCTCTTCTTGCTCTAGCCCTAGAATTCCCCAAGGAGCCCTGGTGGTATTACAGACCAAGATCTGGGTACTGGGTGGCAATCTTTTTTTTTTTTTAAGAGATCTTATACATCTGATTCTGAATCTTATTTTCTTAAGAGATCTTTCCATGTCTATTCAAAAAAGATCAACCATATCATTTTAAACCTCACCTCCCACTAGGAGATCATCTAATGCTGCCACAGTGGATTGTGTCTCCCTTAACACACAGGATGAAATGTATATGCCAGGCCCAATGCTCCATGCCAAGCCATCTACACACACCACTTCATTTATTCTTCATGGTGGCATGGGGATTATCATCCCCAATTTTCACATGAGGAAACCAAGGCTGACAGGTAAGTTGCCTGCCCTAGGTGACACACTACTCATGCAGAGGCAGCACTCACACTTGGTCTGAGGGATTCCAAAGCACTCAGCTTGGCAAGATGGCTTTCTGGAAGGAGAACTGGTCTAAGATGGCAAAGTCCAGGGCTCTCCTCTCTGTCCTGCCATTAACCCAATTATAGAGAAAACCTGAAACCTTCGGTATCTGTGTATAAAGCTGACCTGTGTACTCCTCCTGTGAGGATCATAAAGCAAAAACTAACAAAAAATATGCAGAAAAATGCTTAAAAAATACTAATACTCTATACACAGTGGGAAAAGTGCTGGTATTATATTTTGCATATTTTAATGGCTTCTTTATTAGTCATGAATAGATAACGATTCAAATATGCAACTGCTAAAAGAAGCAACTTTTTTAATCCTTGTTTCCTACCACATCTGCAGTTTTAGGGTAAAAGTTACCTAGACTTCTAAGCTCGATTTCCAGGTAACAGTGACTAAGGAAGTAGGCAATTTGAAAAAAATACATAAATAAAAATAAGAATAAAATCAAGCAAAAGAACAGTCTTTGTTTTAAACTGAGATTCACAAGGCTTTCTCCATGGCCTTTAAAATCAAAACCCTGCATATTATTTTGCCCTATTGTTTAAAAAACAAACCAAAATACAACAACTTAAGACAAATGCTACTTGTAAATAACACACTTTCAAATCTTCAAATGAAAGGCTCTAAAGATAGGTCCCTTCAGAACATGAATTATTTAACTCTCCTGCCTAGGTATTGATTTCCTACAGCTGTTTAACCTGAAAATAAAATGTTATAATTAGGTATGAAATACAAAGAAATACTCTCATTGTATACTTTAAATTCTCAATTCAAAAATACAAATATACTTTAAATTCCTAATTTAAAACTAGAAGCAGAATGTGACATCTTCTAATATGACCATTTTTGGCCAAACTTAACCAAATTTAGTTTAAGAAAATAAATATACACACCATTAACAATTCAATACAAAATAACAAAGAGTAAAAGTTCTGGATGTATGCCCATTTTCCCACAACAGGAGATAAAGGAAGACTTGTTATTGTGCACAATTTGACTCTATAATACCTGTTTCGGTAGAAGGGTTTGGAAATATCCTTAAGAGACAATAAATTAAAAGCCTGCCAGCAAACCCATCCCATAGGAAAGCAATACAGTGATATAGATTGTTCCCATCACATCAACTGCACTCTACCTTCAAATGCAAACCTTGTTCACACAGAGTCTTTCTTTCAAAAATCTCTTCAATGCTGCCAAAACCTGGGGAAAGCCTCTGTGGAAAAACTGTAGTTTTGTAGTTCTCCATTCCACTGTTGCATTTTTAAAATGCAAATCTTTAAAAAGGAGGACAAAAATTTTAAAATGACCTAAAACAGAACCGGCATCCTCACACTGCTATGGTTTATATATGCTTTTCCTCCATACATTGTCAGGAAAACTTAGAAATTTTTAGCCAATAGATTCCTTTCAAGACAACTTAGACATATTAACAAATGCCTTAGTAATTACAAAATAGATTTTCATAAGTCACATATTGTGAACATAAGAAAGCAGAGAACAATTAAAAGCACATGAAATAAACAGAGGCTGCTGAAAACATAGCTAACCTCAGCTTACTGCGCCTACTCTCTTCTAGTGCTAGAAGGCTATTAACATTAAAGTTAATATATGATAGGTTTCATAATTTTTCCCTGCCTAAATGCAAATAACATTCATAACAATTATTTTCCCATGATTTTTAGTTATCAAATCAATTATAAAATATTTTAGAATTTTATTTGTTTCCTAGTCAAGCAGCAATAATTATAAACATTTTTCAGAATATATTAGAATAACTTACCTTTCCCAGTGGTCATGATTGTCAGTGTTCCTGGTACCAAATAAAAAAAAAAACACTGCACGGAAAGCTATACCTACTCACAGCAACTTAAGCATCAGCAAACTCTCCACCCACAAGACTTCTTCAGTGTGATCCAGCACCAATGACAACTGCCACCCTATTCCAAAATAAAAGCCTAGACTATGTAACAACAATTTTTAGAAAAGGGTAAAGGAAGGTGAGCCTTCTCCATCTGGCTTTACTCATGTAAGACAGTATTCTTTAATATTGGTCTTAAAATTTTTTTAGCCAACTATCTGATTTTTTTTCCCCTCAAGAAACAGAGAATATTCCTAACATAAATCTGAAATTAGAAAAATATCAAAAAGCAATCTTACTTCCACATGGAAGATAAAATAAGCTGTCTGTTCCAGCTTACGCTACTAAACCTGGTATCAAAAACAGTCTCTTCCAGGCTATTTTAGGTGATCTTCTCCTTAGCACAGCTCAATACATTTGCCAGCCTTTTAACACATTATCCTGTATCCATGACTATGGAAACACTTTCCTAAGATATTAAACCACACTCCCAACCTTGTAATATGCAGAGTCTAATAAGCAGGGAGAGAGGGTGGGAACCCAATATTGGCACCTGATCCGCTTATTCACAATCATACCTTTTAAAGACTACACATGGATAATAATGCTTGGCATCTTAACAAAGAAAGAATAACTGATTCACTTTTAAATGAATGCTTTGTCCTAGCTACACTAGGCAATAATTCAGATCTTACCTAATACAATCTGTCATTGGTCTATTTCTTTTCAGACTTGCACAGGTATTTCTCACTTCCAACAAAATAGACATTGCATGTGTAACATTTCTCAAGTTATAATTTTTTTTAGTGCAAAAACATAAGCCAGGATGCATCTGGCAGAAGAATGATAGCCTATATACATTATGTATAAGGGCCAATAATTTTGTGATTATTTGTTACCTAATTTACAGTTTCATCAGCAAGTAAATATCTTGTCTTTTTCTTTAGCTACAGATTTATTATGGAATATCATGGAGTTAACCAACATGACACTTTCTATCTTTCCTCATAAACATGTTAGCTTTGCTAAAGAAACTCAAAAGCACGTGCAATTTTTAACCAAATTAATATCCATGGGCCTTACTTCAATCAAATCCAATTAAAGAGCATTAAGTGGTTGCAGACAAAAACCACTGACTAGTCCATAATTACTGGCTCTTTCATTCTGAAAATCCAATTTTCCCATGAACATAAGCACATCTGCATAACTAAAAAACTTACAAATAATTTGCTTTTGAAACTCATGGAAGGAAAAACTGTAATTTTTGCTTCAAGGGGTTTGCTAATTATATGGAGATGAAAAAAAGGAAAAGAAACATCTATATAGCAATATATTTTTAACTCTCATATTCTTGCCACTCAAAGCTGAAAGGTCTTTGGGTAACCTAGCAACAAGAAGGAATCATACAAAGATGAAGTATTCTATTACAGACAGGAAGCCCACTTCAAATTGCTACTTGGCTCCTTTTTCATTGCTGTTTTAGTCACAATTCTATTACATTTTTAAAAATTAAGTCTATGGGTTTCATATAAATATTAATTAAACAAAATAGAACAACATGATTTTGAACATGTCAAGAAATACCACCCAGGATGAAACCCATTTATTCTTAAGAGTATTTCCATTATAATATTTTTCTTCCAACTTAGCTCAAATCCACAGCTTTGATTTCTTACTCAAAAGAGAATTATTGTTCACAAGTAACAAATGAAAAAAAAAATAAACTGTACTTCATCAAAATGTAAAACTTGTGTACACCAAAAGACACAATGAAGAAAGTGAAGAGATAAGCCACAGAATGGGAAAAAATATTTGCAAATCATATATCTGGTAAGATTCTTATCCAGAAGATATAAAGAACTCTTATAGCTCAACAACAAAAAGACAACCCAATTTTTAAATGGGCAAAGAACTTGAATAGGGAATTTTCCAAAGTAGATCTACAAATGGCCAATAAGCACAGGAAAATATGCTCATCATTAGCCATTAGGGAAATGCAAATCAAAACCACAGTGAGATAATATCACTTCATACCAACTAGGATGACTATAATCAAAAATCGAAAAATAATTAAATGTTGCCAGGATGTGCAGTATTTGGAAATTGCTGGTGAGAATATAAAATGGTGCAGCTGCTATGGAAAATAGTTTGGTGGCTCCTCAAAATAAGTTACACAACCAGTAATTTCACTCCTAGGTATAGATTAGAATTAAAATAGGTGTTCAAACAAAAACTTGTATGTAATTGTCTAAAGCGACACTATTTACAATAGACAAAAGGTAGAAACTATCCAAATGCCCATCAATGGATTAAGAGTGGCAAGTATCTGTCAATACACTAAAAATAACTGACTTATCCACTTGAAATGGGCAATTGTATGGTATGGGCATAATTCAGTAAAACAGTTTTAAAAAGAGCATTACTGTCAATTTAAAGAAAGTGTACATTAAATTTTACGTGCATACGCTAAAATAACCTGAAAATCTAAAAAAATATGACAGTTATTCCTAAATGATGTTCTTTTCATTTAAAAAATGAATATATCACTGAAACAGAGCAGATGGAGGAGAAACCTACCATTCTGAGCACTAACAATGTCCCAGGCGCTGTGCTAAGAGTTTTACACACAATCTCATTTATTCTCCACATCACTATAGAGCATTCATTCCATTTTACAGAGGTGTAAGCTATGGCTCACAAGAGTTAAGTCATTTGCCCAAAGGCACATAGCTAAAGAATGGCAGAGCAGGCTAGAGCAGCCTTTCCTAAGGAGAAAGGATGGTGGCACATGTTTTCAAAGCAATCCCCTTTAGCTCCTCCTTGACATTTTGTCTCCATTTGCCCACACTGAGGAACTTCGTCACCCACACTGCAAAATGAAATACAACTACTGTTTGCCAAACACAGTTACCACTCATGAAACACATACTTGTTGTCAAGTCCTTATGCTGAGTACAGGCTGCTAAATTTTTATAAATGGGAGCTTAAAAGACACAGAGCATTTAGTAGACACCTTCTGGGTCATTCTAAGAAGGACCTTTGTGAACATACAGTTCTAATCAAATGAGGCAGCCTTCCAGTGATCAGAACCTCTGCCTGAAAGGCCATTTAGAATGTAGAAATGAGCCCCATGATGCCATTCAGTCGCTCCTTGTGTTTTACTCAGTTCTTCCTCAGCTCCAACTCATCTGAAACACTCCCATGGCTTGAGGCCAGGAGTTCAAGACCAGCCTGGGCAACACTGTCAGACCCCTTCTCTACAAAAAAATAGAAAAATTAGCCAGGCGTGGTAGTACATGCCTGTAGTCACAGCTATTCAGGAGGCTGAGGCAGGAGGATCTCTTGAGCCCAAGAATTTAAGGTTGCAGTGTGCTATGAGATGCCACCACACTTCAGCCTGGGCGACAGAGCAAGATCTTGTCTCAAAATCAAACTCAAAGTATTCATACATGCATTTGAGATTACTAACATACAAAGATGAAAAGCTGGTTCCTGTCAAATGAACCAATCAGAGAGAACTCACTGGGACAAAGAACAGAGGACAGACTGTGAAATGTCCAAATCCTAGAATGAGCAAAGGAGACTTACAGTCCAATGCCAGAGTAGAGATATTAGTCAAATAATTACCAAATGTAAACCTGCGAATGTGACAGATCTAAGCAGTGAAGCAGGGGGTGCTTGGCCATGCTTAACAGGGGCATCTGACACCATTTGGGGGGTCAGCCCCTCTCCAAAGGGCTGAGGCATTGACCCAGGCTGATTTCAGTAGGGCGTGTAGGAGTTAGCTAAGTAAAAGAAGACAGAAGGAATATCACCTACCTTTTAAAAAAAGGGTAAAAAGGACAGACAGAGGCAACTGTGATCTGCCCTCAAGAAAGGGCAGAGACCGCAGTGAGGTTACACAGTTGGGACTGAGGTTGCAGGGCCAGATGGATGGAGCATGGCTGCAGTAGGTCCTGGAAAGAATTTTGTGTTTTTCTTGAGAGAGATGTGGAAGTAATAAAAATATTTTAAAATAAATAAATCAAAATGTATAATGAGGGCAGGAGGTACAACATGGAGATGTTATGAAAGACCCTTAGTCAAAACCCCTCTGTGGGACTGAAGTCCCCCCACACACCATTATCACCATGTAATTAATGTAATTATGTTAATGTTTTTTCCTTTCCCTTGGGAAACAAATGGGAGTTATAAATTTTGATTGTTTTTCTATGTCCTTAGAAGATGACAATAACAACAGTGTGGACTTTCTCAGGAGGTCAGCGCTTGGGAAATCACTAAGAAAAATACACCTACTCAGGAACTGATACTCATTTTCTATCTAATATTTTCTATCTTAATATTTCTACTAACAATTATGTAAACGGACATGCCCACATTTTGAGCCTGACTCAAATGAGGCAACTGGTTACAAGTGCTCCTCATCACCACAGTCCAGCATTTCTGGTGGGCAGAGATAAAATAAGATTAGCAATGTCCTGAACAGTATTGAAGCTGGGAGACAGCTACATGAAGGTACATTATCCTATTCTATCTAATATATTAATATTTTTTAAATTTCCCAAGAAATTAAACAGGAAGGAGGTAAGAAGACCTCCCTGCTTTGATGCCATCACGCAGTGTGCCTATAAAGTTTGGCTATGGGTACATCCACCTCAAAGAAAGCTGAGGTACAACCTGCTCAAATTTCTAAAAAATGAAAATTTCATAAGCTAATGTCAAAAGGACAGTACAGACAATATCAAACGCTATTTAACACTGTTCTGGGAGGAAGAAAAAGGGGAACAACAGAAAATCTTGCAGTCTGAGTCTCTTTTGCTTCAATAGTGGTTTTCATGCAGAAAAGGACAGTTCTCATTTTGGCAAGATTCTACAAAAGACAATAAACTGAGGGGCCAGAATGGACGCAGGGAGAGAAGTACACAGACTATTTTAATAATGCAGGCAAAGAATGTAAATTGGATGAGAGTGCCAGAGAGGGAGAAAAGTGGATGGATTCAAAAAATATGTGAGTTAAAATCCATAGGAATCAGTGATAATACACATGACAAATGAGGAAAGGGAGGTATTAAAGATGACAACTAAGTTTTAATTTACATGCTAGGACGGATAATGGAGCAGTCACAAACATAGGAAGCACAGAAAAGATATGGTAGGGGTTATATTTATTGTTCTGTGTTTTATCTTTCAGCCAGAAGTAGAATATAAATCTGGTTTTAGATACATGTTTCATACAAGAGGAAATGTCAGACAGGCAGCTGCTTCACATATAATTCCAACCCTATGGCAAGATCTGGACAGAAGAAAAACACTGATGAAAACATGTGATATGGTTAATAAATAAAATTACATTCATGGATAAGAACAGTCAGGGAGAAAGTGCTGCCTAGGAATGAAAAGTCCTACAATCAAACTTTAAAAATTTAATGACCAAGTAGGAGACATTAAACAAAAGAAGGAGACAACAAACATGCAGCCCAAAAAGAGGAAAGGAGATCAGGCCAGTCTCTTTCCTTTTTGTTCTTTTGGTAAAAAAAAAACACGCAATAATTTCTTAGGTATGAAACCTAAAACACAAACAACAAAAGAAAAAAAAATAGATATATTAAACTTCATCAAAATTAAAAACTTTCTATTTCAAATGACACTATCAAGTAAAAAGAAAACCCACAGAATAGGAGAAAACACTTGCAAATCATATATGTGATAAGGTTCTAGTATTTAGCATACATAAAGAATTCTTCTAAATCAACAATAGACAACCCCATTTAAAAATGGAGAAAAATTTTATTTGAACAGATGTTTCTCCAAGGAAGGTATATAAATGGCTAATAAGCACATGAAAAAGATGCTCGATACTGACCCATTGGGGAAATGAAAATCAAAACCACAATGAGATACCACTTTGTATCCACTATGATGATAACAATGAAAAAGAGACAGTAACAACTGTTGGTAAGGATATGCAGAAACAGCATGCTCATACATGCTTCCTGGTGAGAATGCAAAAGGATGCAGCCACTTCCGCATGAACGAACTTTGAAAACACTATGCTAAGTGAAAGAAGCCACATTTATATAAATGTGATTCCATTTATATAAAATTTCCAGAGCAGGCCGGGCGCGGTGGCTCAC